TGGCTCTGCCGCTGCTCCTCTCAAAGAGGGCCTGGGGGCAAGAAGAAAGGACAAGTAGTAGCCACAGCCGGAAGCTGGCCTGCCTGGCGCCCAAACCCCTTTGGCACTAGGTGCATTGCAAGGGGGCAGGAGCTCGGTGCCTTGCGTTCTATGACCCAGCAGCAGACCCTGCGGCCACGGCACCAAACAGTGGGGCTCTGTGAAATGAGCGAAGGGCCCCGCTGTGACCATGGAGAGAGGGATTAGGAAGAGGGGAAGGCCTGGAGCCAGAACAGCAGGGGCTCTGGCGCCCAAACCCCTTTGGCACTAGGTGCATTGCAAGGGGGCAGGAGCTCGGTGCCTTGCGTTCTATGACCCAGCAGCAGACCCTGCGGCCACGGCACCAAACAGTGGGGCTCTGTGAAATGAGCGAAGGGCCCCGCTGTGACCATGGAGAGAGGGATTAGGAAGAGGGGAAGGCCTGGAGCCAGAACAGCAGGGGCTCGCCTCGCCGTGCTCCAGGAGCGGGCAGCGCAGTGCCCCAGGAAAGACGCCAAAGAAGCCAGGTAACGGATTTCAGGGTCTGCTCCAAGTCGGCTGGGCATCCCGCTGTCCCGCGGCTCAGCTACTGCAGAGTAAAGGCCCCTGGCCCCTCGCAGCCGGCGCGTTACCTTGTTCTCAGCCAGTGCCTGCTTGGCCAGGTACCGTTCTCGCTTCACCTTGATCTCCAGCGACTCGGGAATGTCGGGCACTATCAGGTCTATCACACGAGCAATGGCGAAAACCACGTGCTGCAAGCGAGGAAAAGGGCTGTGGCCAGCCAGCTGCTGCTTTCCAGAGCCACAGCGCTGGAGGGGAGGGACAGGCACTCTAGAAGGGCCTGACCCAAGCAGTGCCCTTTACTCTGCATTGCTGCCCCGCTGCAGCGACCGGGCCGGGCTGAATGTGCCCTGGCAGCAGCTGTAGGAGAAACCTTGGAGTCAGGAAAGGGTCAAACCCGGGGCAGGGCAGGCCCAGGAGCGGGCGGTACCTCAAATATGATGATGAAGCCCAGGCGGATGGCTAGTAGGTTCCAGTAGGTCAGCGAGTGCCTGCCGCTCTCATCCCTGTACGCTCGGTACCTGGCAAGAGAGGGGGAGGCTGCAGCTGGCTGCATCCCAGCCACAAGGCAGAGCCCTGCAGGCCTTGTGCCGCCAGCCTCCTCCGTGCGCCGGGGGCTCTGCCTGCTGCGGGCCAGGGCTCTTCGGGATGAACAGCAAGGCATTGATCTGGCCCAGGGATTGGGGGGGCAGCCCTGGCTAATGCCGGCCGGACAGGACCCAGTTCAGGCTCCAGAGCAAACGTGAGCCCCCAAAGGGGACTGGGGCCCCGTGGCCTCAGCACGGGCTGCTACTGCTGCACTGCCCAGGGCGGGGCACCGGGCCGCTCTCTTGTCCCCAGGGCGGTGGCCTGGCCTTGGGTCTCCCTTTCCCTGCAGAAGTGGGAGGCCCTTCGGCACTGGTCTCCCCAGGATGCAGGAGCCCCCGTTGCTGCTGGAGGGAAGGGGCGAAGACGAGGCTGCTGCCCACCTGCAGGTGCCGTTGTGCTCTGTGGCAAAGGCGGGGGGCGCGTAGGCCAGCGTGAAGTTAACGTAGCCCTGCAGGTCGCTGGCGTGGGTGTACTGGTAATACAGCCGGGGCAGGAAGTCCGAGGTGAAGGCAATGAGGAAGGCCTGGAAGGAGGAGGGCCACGTCCTCGTGCTCCAGCC